CTTTATCTAAACATGCAAATTGCAAATACTGTGACACAACTACACACATCACAATACTTCTAAAACTGGCACTGTTTCAGTTTTGCTGTTATGTGTGACTGTCACTAGTTTGCTCTTGTTTTAGGCATTGGTGGTGTTCCAGAAGTGCACCAAACAAACAGAAACCAGAAAACTGAGCTTGCAACCACAGCAACCAGGCTCCATCTCCATGGGCTGCTGCTATCCTTCATGTTTGCATTGTGTGTCCACCCAGTGCCTTGTACAAGGTCATACTTTAATGCACATCAAACTAAAAATGACACCTTCTGCTAAGGGGAGGTTAAAAACCAAACTGCAATGCTGCAGCTCCAATAAAGTAAAACATATTTTAGCTATGAGGAAGCATTCCTTCTCTGCACAAGTACACGATTATATTAAGGATCCACACTAACAATACCTTTTCATGCCCTTAAATAACCTATTAATTAAAAAAAAAATAAGTAATATTCATATTGAGAGCATGCCCTCATGATCTGTACTCTTACAGGCAACCATTAAACTTATTTATTCTGTTCTTATTTTCCTTACACAGGAAAGCTGGCAAGGAAAACACTTCAAGATCTCCTCCTGGAAGGTTTTTAATTTTGGCTTGAGCTCTTAAGACTGTTAAACACTTCTGAGAGTCCTACCATCTTCTTCAAATTTATCAGTATCTTACAGGAAAGTGGTTGTATGTTTTTCTTTAGAGTACAAACAGCATCAGTTCTTTGCACAAGTGAAAAAAAAAAAAAGTATATCCATAAAAACACACATATACTATTCCAGACACTGTATGAAACCTAGTCAGCTTTGAGAAATCATTAATAACTGACCTGCAAGAGTATACTAAATGTAGGCTACTGATGTGCTGTATGATCAGATTGCAGTTCAATATTGTGCCACTTTTAGTGTAAATCAAACTATATCCTAAGTTTTCAGAAACCTTGAAGTCAAAATACAGATTCAGACAAGTTATAAAGGAACACAAATAAACCAATAGTTACCCTGTTTGTAATAAGGAGACACACATTGTAACAAAACTAAATTAAATGCATCACATCCAAAGTAAATACCCAGCACTGGAAAATATCAAGTTTCAGTCCCTGAACTGCCACTGACCTGATGAGACAAGACTGGTTAATTTTGCTGGAGTCTCTTTTCTTGGGGAAGTTTTGTGGTGTTAGTTTGTTGTGGGGTTGTTTTGGTTTTTTTTTTTTCCTCTTTCTTCTGTTATTCCAGCATTAACAAATTGGAATGGCTACTACAACACACCTACTTAATCAGCCTCCTTGGAGTTCTAAGGAACAGCAAAGCATCATGTGCAGTAAAAGTTACTGAATTTTTGAAAACCAAGAAGGAATTTTTGGGATAGAGGAAACAAATGGATGTCATGGTAGAGCTTTCTTCCTAGCAATCACAACTCCCCTCAGGTACCAGTTGTCCAAGCACTACCTCTCTCATTAAAACAATCGAATTTTATAGGTCATCATTTAAACTCCTTTTAACTAAGCATAATATTTATTAACGTTCTTTAGTGATACAAACCAAAAGATCACAATTAACCAGGCTGTTGGTGTTGGAGAGAGAGCATTTAAGCTCCATTCCCAAATGTGTAGTATCAATATGGGACAACCACCTAACTCAGATGCCCAGTTAGGACTCTGACTCTTCCTGCTTCCTTTTTATTAGCCTAAGGGATAATATTAGTACCCAACAACAGTACACATGCTTCAATCTCCACCTGCACTAACAATACATGGGACTCCTGTCAATTTTTTGCCACAGATGGGCAATTCCAGTGTTGGCCTCATAAAATAACTCACAAAGAGATGACTGTACAGAACAGCCTTTCTCCAAGTTACATTCCCAAAGAATAATCCTAGGAGAGCTTTATTCTCTTATCCTTACAGTAAATTACTTTTCTTGGCTCAGAGCTTTAAGATTTTATTGCTTTTTAAGTTAGCGATGAAAGATTTAATCACAGATTTGTTAGATTTAGCCACTGAACACAGGCTTTCCCACATTCTTTGAAGCTCCAGCAGGAGTCACAGTAGAAGTTCCCAACTATAAACACCACTGGAAAAATTTTGGATTTACCATGGATTTCCTCCCAATAATCATTCACAGCTTGAGTTTAGCAATAAAGAAATCTATCATCATGCCCCCAGCGCCATCTGGGAGATCAGGCTTTTGGCAGAGAAAAATGGAGCAGCAATTGCCTAGAAGCACAGGAAATCAATGTCTTCCCCACGCAGGGGTGAGCAACAGGCTGCTCCTGCTGGGCACGGGACCATTCATTTCCCTCTCTGCCAGCAAAGCTGCTCTGTGCACGCAGTGAGCGAAGTCTCTGCCACACCAGCAGGACGCACGCACGCACCTTCCCCCAAGCCCTGTCCTCACCCCTGGGGTTAAGCAGCCAACAACACAGCTTCAACTTTAGAGACAAAAAGGGAAGGAATATGGAGACCAGTCTGCCAAGAGAGCCTTTAGGTTTCAGACTACAAGGCAGGTAACAAATGTCCCAGTACATCACTGATTTCAGCTCATCTCAAATCCCATGACTTGACAAAGGATTCAACCGATCTTGGACAACACCAGGGCCAAGAAAACCTGGTCTTCACTTTCCTCCTTTTCAAAGTAGTAGGATAATACTGTTTACTTCCAGCCATTAGACCTTTAAAACAGGTGCCATGTTTGTTTGCTTGTTTTAAGCACAGCCTTTAGAGGGGAGTTTGGAATATTAAGAAAAAAACAAACCGAGCACATTATCCAGCAGACAATAGGGCACACTGGCATCCTTCCAGGCTGTACTTCTTCATAGCTAAACCACAAGTTTGTTTACTTATATAATAGCAAACATCCTTTCTTATTGAGAGGGTTTGCGGGTTTGGCAGAACTGGAATAGTCACTCAAGATCTTCTGTTAAGGTCAGAGCACAGACCACCACTGATCTCTGCAGCTTTAAAATCCCAAGTCATTCCTCAAACTTACTAGCCTAAAGTGCTCCCTGGAGCATGAGGCAAGGTAAGAAGGACACGAGTTGAGTTTTCCCATGCACACACTTTACCAAGCTGCAGGCAAAAAGAACTTCACATCCACATCTTTGCTCCTCATCAAAGTTCCAAATAAAATCGCAGTAACGGGATCATTACAGGCATGTATGCAGCCACCAAGAACTGAACCACTGTCTGTAGCTGGTGTCTGAGGTTACTGATACAAGCAGCAGATGGAAAGGACTTCTGGTCAAGCCAGACTTGGCCCTGATTTGAACCAGTGCTCTGCATAAGCAGCTTGTCCATGAACCAGCCCTCTCTGAGATCATGGGGTGCTGCTGTGGCTGCTTCCAGAGCTCTGCTTTCATATTAACCCCAGTACCTGCAGGCACGTCAGGATCACCACTGGGTACAGCTGACTGAGCATCTACCTGTATCAAGCACATCTTGCAGGATCTCCTGAAAGCTACACTGTGAGCTGTGTCTAGAAACTGTAAAACACGGCAATATTAAAGCAGAAATATTTTGGGCTCTAGCACTTCTAGCTTCTCAGGGAGATGGTTCACTCATCTTTCTACCCACGCTTTTTATCTCTATCATTTCTTCTGTTTAAAAAGTTACATCTGTAAATGCAAGTATCTGCTTTATTTCTCTAGAGTCACCATTGCTCTAAATCAATTCAGGTCATGCTGAAATTAGTCTTGCCCTTCACCAGGTTAACAGATTCTCCAGTTTTACTATAATTAATACACGTCCGTAGATAAATTACAAACAAAGTGAAAGACAAAAAAGAAGTAGGATTACCCTATAATATTTTTCTTGTCCCTCCATCCCCAAGTTCAATAGGAAGTGTTTCAAAAATTGCACCCTACTGCAATTTAGTAAGTCAGCAAAAAACAGACACTGCTTGAAGGTATTTCCTAGAAGAAATAACAGGTAACTTACAAGAGATTCCTCAGTAAATGTGGCCACCACACATTATCCTGTTTTCCAGCAAATGGAAAAAAAAACTCACTCATTTTCTAAGCTTTCACCTTCTTCACAGTCCATTCTAGCTGCAGTAAGATTCATCATTTGGTCACTCTGGACAGCAGTAGGCCTGCATTTATCATGGTGGAATGTGTCCTCACTGTTTGTTCTTACAGTTTATGGAAAGACAAGTACAATGACTCATAAAACTGCTGCAAGAAAAAGCTGAAACAAGTTAACAGAATGAGCTTCTTTAAAATGACATCCTTCATCCTACATTTCCGGCATACAGAGCCAAAACCACATCACACTTTCCACTGACAGATTTAGAGTTATTAGTTATCATAAATGGCAAGACCATCACTGAGGCCAAGTAATGCTTCCCAGTATGTTCCTGAACTGCTCACAGATCTTAAGTGCACTATAAGCAGTGGAAGGTCTAGTTATATGTTCTAGAGAAAAGTAATTTATTACTCATGTACTATTTTTTTTTTCCTTTTGGAAAATTATATTTTCTTTATGCTGAGAATGACCATCATGAAAATTCTTACCTGCTTTCCATCTAGTGTGTACAAGCGTTTAACCACCCCTGAATCCAGCTTGATGGCATCAGTTATATCAGTAAGAACCTGTTCAAATGAATGTGCTGTCTTCTTGTTGAGCAGAATCCGGACTGCTTTCCGTGGTTTCACTCCACTCCTGATGATAGTGACTAGTTTAGGCCTAATGAAATCCTTATTCTCTTTTGCTTCTGGAGTACCTCCTTTAGCAGTGGCAAGAGACGGCACTGAACGAGAAGTAGAAGTTGTCTTAACATTCACTGACCAGTTTGGGTTTACATTCTTCGTGTACTCCAGTTTCTTGAAGGGTTCTATGGAACCACATACATAGCTTTCTCCTGCAGAAACAAAAGTGCCAGACCAGCAAGTCAGATTGGAGGTAGAAGGAAAGGGAAAAAAAAAAAAAAAAAAGAAAAACAAAACCCAGAAATACCAAAATTACTTCCCAAATTACTAAACATTATTCTTATCATTCTTGATCTCCAGTGCATACAGCATTTAAAGCCTTGATCTCACACCTTCTCAAATGCTACAGACTATAAAATATCTTTTAAAGATCACTTGTTAGCTAACCATCCAGAAAATGTTGTTACAAAATCCTTGAAAGCAACCATTTTCTTTTCAGAAAACACCATCTGCAGTGAGGATCGCTGCTGTCAGTAAGTAGTGTTCAGATCTAATCACCTGCCCAGCCCCAGCACACTAGCACAGTAGTCTCCCAGTCTTCATGCTTGAATTTTAAAACAAAAAAAAAAAAAACAGCAGGCCCCAAATACTTCAGAGGAAATAATATGAAATATTATCAAAAACTATAGGTTACAGATGACTTTCTATAACAGGTGGATGGAAGTGGCATAGGAGGTTGGTTAACATTTGATTATTTAAGGCTTTAAGCAGCATACACCCAGCATGTGTCTAGGCAAGAAAACTCACTGTGTGACTCTACTGATTCAATATACAATATGGGGGGGAAACAAGACAAAGTAATAATCACAGAGTTCTCCTCACAGTAAATTTACTATACTTTAAAGAAAAAAAAAGTGGATTATAGGTCATATTTCTATGGGAGCATTAACTACAGTAAAATATTTTCAATAATACCACATTCACACAATTTCTGGGGAACAAGAAGATATCCAGAAAACAGCAGCACACCCCTGTTGTTTAAAACCTTCATGCAGCCCAGCTGTGAGAGGGGCACCTGCCTGGGTGCTCCCAACCTCTCCCTTGAGCCTCACTGAGGGACTGCACTGCTGGCTGAGCTGGATCAGTTTGGTGATCTCTTTGGACATAACAAAGACAATACTAATTTTGCAACAAGTTGATCCATTTCATCCTCTGGCCACAAAATAAAACAACAGAGAAAGCAATACTACATCCAGCACCTTCTTGGCAACCTGCAGCTAAACTCCATTACAAATAATGTAAAATCCTACCCTGACCAATGCCACAAAAACATCTGAGATGTTTTAATTCTTTTTGGGTTCAGTAGTTCAGTGTGTGTTAACAGCATAGAGGCCTTCACGTCAGCAGTTTAGCCCAAGGCATTAGAATTAAACCAGAACAAAACTTGTCCAAAAAACACATAAGAACCAAAGATTTTCCTAATGATCCCTGCCCTAAGGGGAGAGGACTTGTAGTTCAATTATTAAAAGAAAAAGCACTTAGATTTTACTTCTAGACAAAAAGTTTAAGGTTTCAGGGCACCCAACCCAGTTCCACAGACAACAGAGCACACAAGGAATGCTGGCAGGTATAGAATTACCACAGGTAGAAAGGGGGTGAGATCCACTGGGACATGAGTTCTCAGATGCAACAGGGGTTCTAGGCTGTTGGTATGATGTGAGGCAGTCGCACACTGTACACTGATTATCAGAAAGGCAGTGGAAGGACTCCAAAGGAAGACAAAGAAGTCAGAGCAACGTGAGAAGATGGAGCAATTATAGCACAAGATAAGCAAGAAACATAAAAATTCCCGATTTGTTGGTTGGTTGGGGTTTTTTTTGATGTTTTTCTTTTGTTTTTAAAAAGGGATTCTTTTAAAGCAGACTACTAGAGAGTGGGAGATGATGTAAGACATTCCACTGCTTGCTAGTCATCACATGAATTCAAGTTAATCTGCACTTTGCAGTAACATCTAATGCATTAAGAAAGGCATCTAAGATGGAGTGCTTACACCAACCTTACAAGAGACAAAAGTAAGCTCTTCCTTTTGTCCACTGTATACATATGAGAAAGAGAGATGTAGATATATATGGTAACCACAGAAAGGCTTAGCCACAGTAATGATCCAAGACTGATCAAACAGTACATATTCTCTTTTATCCATGTCCCTGACCAATATTTTTAGCACTAGCTACTCAATTACTGCAAGGTCAGAATGCACCCACAACACCACATCCATAAAATTAACATTTTTTTTAAAACATTAATTAAAGACTTAAAATCCACCAGCAACTTCTTTTTGTTGTTGTCATTTTTTGAGGCAGGGGAAGGAATGAAAATCAGATCATAGAATCATAGAATCCTTTAGGATGGAAGAGACCTTTAAGATTTTCAAGTTCAGTGCCATCAGAGAAATTGTTGAGTTTATTTAATTGTTGCATGAAATAATTATTTGTTTAAAAACAAGTCTCCACATTAAAACTCACTTCTCAAAGGGTAGGTGCATAAACAAATGGCAATATATGTACCCAGAAGTTTTACATTTGGTTTATTAAGAACTATTGGTTTCCCCTCTTGAAAGGGTAGCTTGCTTTTTAATATCAGTTTTATTTAAAAGTCAGCTGGGTTCCTTGCAGTGTTTAACAGTACACCAGCTATTCATTACAAAACTGATTTTGTGTAAATGACTGTGAAAAAGACCAGCACAATCACTGAAGTTATGAGATTGTTTCCATTTTCCCTTTCTTCATTTCTAACACTACAATATTACATCAGTAAAATATCTGCACCAAGAGATATATATTTTTCTCTTGAAGAAGCTTATATTTTGCTACAGCATATCTGATACTCTTGGGTACCTCTTGGGCAGAGGTAGAGTATCCAGGGCCTTCTAAGATGAAATATCCTTAGTAGGAGCTATTTTATACAGGAAAACAGAAATACAGATACCTGTCCTATAATGCTGCTATTTAAGACTGTTTACACTTAAAGTGCTTGGGCTTATAAACCTTCAGAGATGCTAGCCAGGGACTGCAGTTCTCATTCACAGTAGTCCTTAGGACCAGGCCTTTAAGAATAAAAACTAAATGGATGAAACCCCTATGTTCTAAAAGTATCTTATATCTATCTTAAGATCAACACACTCACTTTTATGGTGAAATCCAGCAAATTTTAAGTATTTAAAACACCAGAAACACTCAAGTACGAGCTTAAATTTTCTGAATGTAGGACCCACCCTGATAGGAGTCAGAACTTTCAATGTCTAACCTAATCCATTAGTGCCCGTGGTGTTTGCATGCAGAGGAAATCTCAATAAGTACAAAAAGCCTTCACCTATTTCATGTTTTATTCAGGACAATCTAGATTTTCATCCTTTCTTCTTTTCCACAGTTACCTTAAGGAGAGAAGACTGCAAAGAAGTTTCACAAGGGGCATGACTTACTAGTCCAATAAATCCACTGTGTGCCTTAACTATTGCTTCCTCATCAGAACTATTAGGTGATGACATAATTTTTTAATTCTTTAATTTTTAAATTTTTTGTAACCTTTTGGCTACAATTGCTTCACAGAGAAGAGCCTCCCTCTCATGACTTGTACCTGAGGGGAGAGAGAAGCTGCAATCTGCAGACAGGCAATACCAGCACTGAGCTGGTTTTCCCTACTCTGGGCCATCACTAATGAAAATTTGACTCTTGATTACAGTATTAATAACCATTAGAAAAAGAAAAAGAGGACACCCAGCTGTTTTGGAACATTTAAGAAAAAAGTCATTGCTAGTTCTTCTAGATCATGACAGAATTTCATTACATGAAACATAATATAAAAATATAATTCAAAAAATACTATCAGTGTGCAAGGTGGCTGCCAAGGTGACATTGAATCCCTCTTATGACTTGTACCTGAGGGGAGAGAGAAGCTGCAATCTGCAGACAGGCAATACCAGCACTGAGCTGGTTTTCCCTACTCTGGGCCATCACTAATGAAAATTTGACTCTTGATTACAGTATTAATAACCATTAGAAAAAGAAAAAGAGGACACCCAGCTGTTTTGGAACATTTAAGAAAAAAGTCATTGCTAAATATTAGAAAGTATCCCTTTCCTGATAGCCTTCCTACCTCTTCAAAGCACAGATCCTAAAACATGGTTTACACCTAAAAAAAAAAAAAAAACCAAACAAAAAGGGACAAACAAAACTTAATACTTGCAGTTACACATCTGTCAAAATTCAATGCAGCTGAACTGCTAGAGCCATGGGGCACTGATAGTTCTTCTAGATCATGACAGAATTTCATTACATGAAACATAATATAAAAATATAATTCAAAAAATACTATCAGTGTGCAAGGTGGCTGCCAAGGTGACATTGAATCACTGCCAGTAAGTACTGGGGCTTTCCTGATGGAAGTGTTGACCCCCTCTTTGCCACATTGGTGTTAGCACTTGGCTTCCTTCAGCTTGCTGACATTCTCACTACTAAGAGATAATGTCTTGATTATTCTAAAAAAGAGTATTTTCGTTGTTTTCCTGTGCTAAAGGTGTACTTCCACACTTTGATGGTGAGGATGTTCAATGCAGTAGTCATTCATTCTGGTCCATTTCCCCAACAGACAGGACAAGAAACAGATTAAGAGAAGAGGGAAGGGACTGGCACCCCCAGCACCCCATGCAACAGGGACCCCTGCCCTTCTTCACTTCCCCCCTCTCCTTTCCTTTTGTGCATACAACAGGCAGAAGAGCAATCTCTCAGGGGAAAGGACAAAGAATTCTGACTATCCCTCACCACGCAGAGCAGATTGCAAAAGGAAGATGACCTGAACCAAATAAGTTACTACCTGATAGTTCCCAAATGTGTTAGTTAATAGAGCAATAACCTATTTAAAATACATTACTGCTACCTTGTCTTTCTGCAGTGCCTAAAAAAATGCAACGGGGCAAAAGAGATGAAGCATCTACAGGAAATGAAGCTGACCTACCCATGTTCACCTAGCAATCAGATGCACCAGAAACTTTAAATCAGATCTCTTAAGGGACTTTTTTCACATATCATTCTTTCTCCTCAGCTCAGAGTAAAACCTTTTTTGTGCTATCAAAAGACAAGTGAAAAAATGAAGACATACTTCCTCCCTGTGTGTTCCCTCCAAATTCCTGCACTTTTGCTACAAGCAAGATAGGCATTGTACACATTTAAATAGGAAAAAAAAAAAAAAAAAACACAAACTGGAAAGCACCTAGTATAAGAAACCATGAGACCTTCAAAGCAGTTAAGGAAGACACACTGTGAATCAACGGGCTAACAGATGAACTTTCTCAAAATCATAAAATAAAATAATCAAATAAACAGTGCCAGAACAACCCACTGCCATTTTATGAAACAGGATTATTCAGCTGTTTGTTTATTAAACAATATAAGGATTGCAGGCATTTCTGCCACAGGATCCAGTCCAAGTTTCACTAACTTTGATAGCCCTGGATCAAGTCCATGGTAAATATCCAATGTAAATTCAATCCTATAAACAAATGTCCACATAGATTCAGCTCTACAAACATTTAAACTGATACTTCACTACTGTTATTTTGATAGCATATTACATATGCATATGATTCTTTTCAGGCCATCAGTTCCCAGCTGCTGAGGTAGGTGTGATTTAGGAGTGTTAGCTCCAGAGTGCATCAGAGACCATGACAATCAATTCCTGTGGTCTGGCCTGGCTGGGTTTCTCATCAGCACTGCTGGAGCAGGTGGCAGAGTCAAGGAGGCAGTGGCAGCAGCAGGTAGTAGAGAGAACAGCTGAGATAAGAGGAAAGAGGTGAGCGTGGGTGTAGCAATACCACACACAATAAAACATCAGGAGCTCTGTCATAGCCCAGCACTTCAGCAAGGGGACACTGCCTGTCAAAACCTCCCCAGGCAGGCAGCTCCTCTGCTGCATTAACACAAACTGCCTGCCTCCACTTGCAGGAGCCTTCCCATAGTCCTCATGTGGCCCACTGGCCCCTCTGCTCACCGCAGTGAGGTTCACATCTCTCACAAGTTATTAGCCAGTTACAGCCATTACAGATTTCAAAACTGGTGTGTTTGTTCTCTTGCAAACTGCTCCTTCAGCAAGGATTGCAGCTCTGACATAATCCCTGAGAGATATTCATTTTTCTTTTTCAGATTAATCCTTAGAACTATTTTTGCCTACACAAAATGTGCACGCACACATACAACCCTTTACAGCAGTTGGCAGTGCACCCAGTATTGACATGTGACAACGTTGCTTCCCAGTGCTCTCTCAGCCTTCTGGTTTGAGGGTTTTGGGTTGTCTTTGACTGACAGTTCTCAGCTGCAGGGTTCAACTTTTGTGGTAGGTCCTGTGGAAACCTAAAACAATTGATTCTTGTTCATACCCAAGACTCTAAGGGAATATTATAATAAAGATTAATGAGAAAGGGATTCAGTTTTGGCTACAGATTGAATCCGTGGTCTTTGTTCCACACAGCAGGACTCCAGGAGTAAAAACTGTAAATACTCCAGTTTCAGTCATCCTGCTCTATCTATTCCTGTTCTTGTTACACTGTTCAATGGTAATTTTGGGGTAAGTCCCATCAGTCCACCCGTGACTCAAGCTGCAAAGATGGGACACTTTTAGCAAAAGGTATTTAGTCCTCTCCTGAGACTTTGTTTACAACATAGCCTGAAGAGCAATTTCATCTTTCCTGTTTCTACATGCTTTGATTATATGTCATGCCCAGGGAATAAAGTCATGTCACATTTGGAAACCATTTTTTAAAAGTAAGAGGGTCCTGAACATCACATCTGACAAAAAGAAGGTAACTTCAATCTATCTCATTCTTTCCTTCATGTGAGGGTACAGGTGAAGTTACAGTAACAATTTGTTACCAAATTCCAACAAAATTCACATGTCCCAAGTTTTTTAGAAAAAATTAAAAAAAAGAATCCAACACAAAAAAGATCCACAAAACCCTCGGGAAGCTCCTAGTTTCAAATAAAGAGAATTTGCATCCCTGCACCTCAAAATAACCTACAGCAGCAGCACAGAGCCGTGCCAGCTCTGAATTGCATGCAGGACAGAACTAAATATTACTGAAGCAAAAGAGCTCCTTTAGAATCTCTTTCCTTTGGGACTATCTTTCATGCAGTTCTATGTATTTAGCACTGGGATCAAAGACAGTGGCTGCTGTCTTGTTCCCCACAGGAGCTGGCTGCTTCTCTGTCTTCATCTACCATATGGGAAGGTAAGAGTACAGTAACTTCCTCACGGGCATAAAGGCGAAAAACCAACATCAAATCAAGGCCTTACACATTCACTTTACAACACAATCACTAAAATCAATGCCAGAAAAAAAAAAAAATCTAAATCTGTAACAGTCTCATTAAATTAACTCACACGGTAAGGGAATAGTCTCACCATGTAGAAAGCAATGCTTTGTATTTCAATAGTTTAAGCACAAATGTCATTTGGCAAGAGGCAAAAATCAAGTGATTTTCCAGCTATTTAAACACAAAGCACAGCTCCAAGCTAATTAATGCTGCACCAGACTGGCCAAACTCTAATAAATTTGCACAGTAAAGGGTGGGAAGGGCTTACAAATAAACCATCACTGAGCTAGTAACATATGAACCTGTACTCTACAGTGAAGCTCTACGAGGGCAAGAGCACAAAACAACCCTCCTTATAGTTTTATACCAACAGACAGAAGCCTCCTCTGAGGTGGAACAAGGATGTAGCTCTCTACTTGCACACAAAGACTGACTTCTGTAAACCCCACAGTGTTAAGGGCACAAGAAAATAACACTGTCCAGCTGGAGCTACACACAAGAAGGGAGGATGTGTTCATTGTAAAGGTAAGGAATACAATCCCACAGAACTAAAAGAATTCCCAAAGCTCTTCTTTAAAATAAACTTATGCTCTTGTACTGTCATTTATTTTGACTGACTGATTTATAACTGGTATTATTCTTCTCTAGGATGCCAAAATAAACCAGTCTTATAGGCTGCTGAATTTATTTCTGTATTCAGTTCTCTCTTTTCAAAAGCTGGTTCTAACTGGCAGCAAAAGGCTCTGCAAACCAACATTAACATCAATGATACTTGTTTCTTGATGAGCATACCAATCAAATAAGCACAATTATTTATAACACTACTGAGAACAAAATGCACAAACACTGCTTTCAAACAGATGTTGATGAATATTGGTCTTTCCTCCCAGAAATTGATTTTCTCCAGCAATTAAAAACTACCCTGACAAACACAGTTCTAACTCTGTCCTGGAATTCATTACATTGATCTGAAGGCCAGTTTCCTTTCCATGTCATCAACCCAATGGTCCTAACCCCAGAAACCTTTACTTACATAGGGCAACTCATCACTTCAGTTTTCTGTTTGAGCATCTCCACGTTGTCTCCTACTCTCCTTTTTAGGCAAGGAGGATTATCAATAATAATATCCTCTTCTCAAAACTTTTCCTTAAATTCCTCTGCTATGACACCCAAGGGAGACAACTTGATGGTGCTGAACACCTGCTATGCAAAGATGTGCTCCTCTTTCAGAAACCTTATTTGGCTTTTTTTTTTCTTCTTCTCTCCCCACAGTAGCCTTCTTCTGACCCTCTCATTACATCCTGATACTGCAAGTTCCCTCATCCACTCCTAAGAATGGAAACCATAAAGAAATTACAGTCTCTGTTACAACTCTAAATTGGCTGTCCAGTGGCTACAGGCTTACCCATGGCACAGTGGGGCCAGGGGCAGGATGGAAACAATGAAAAAATTGTTCCACCTTTATTTTCTTTGAACGCAGTCAGTATAGTCACAAAACTATTACTGACTGAGTGATAAATTCAGTGGCAATGGGCCAATTAGCAACTGGCATCTCCAATGTTTGACAGTGACCTATCAGTCCTGACCAAATCACTGGTAATGTTCTATACTGCAGGTACATAAGCCTTATTTAAAAACAACATAAAGATGCCAGCAGACTGGAGAAGAGGGAAAGGGAACTACTACAGGGGAGAAAAATTAACAATCTGCCCCAGCTGAACCATGGCTAAAACATTACTCTTTTAACAGGTTTCCTACATTTATGGTACTCCATGAAATGAGAGTGTTTTACTCAAGGCATGTTTACTTGTAGGGAAGAGTTGGAGCTCTTCACTAGGTGAAGACAGACTGACTTTTAAAAATCCATCAGCACTGAATTTCACGTAGGTTTCATCAGCCAAATCAATATAGTCAAGTTTAACTGACTAAACTCTCCCTGGAATTTTTAAATATGCAAGTTCAAACGAAGCAGCAGGTGCAATCTTCAAGAACCAGGACTATCAACACTAGGTTAACAGAAAGTTATACACTTTGAACAAGACAGGAAAAAAATTGCCAGAAAACAGTATTTCATGGCACAAGTTGTTATTCACAATTCTACCTATATCATTGAAGACCCTTTATCAATAAGAACAACAATATCATTAGCTATTTGTGGAAGACTTAACAGATTAGACAAGCAAACACTGACTCAAACACAACTTTCAACCTCCAAATCTTACTGCTGACCTTCTACTAGCTGGTCCAAGGAGGAAATCTTCTTGGAGCCATCAATGGTATAGATTGTTCTCACTCCCTGGGGCAGATTCACATTGTCAGACAGAGTCCGGGTCAGATCAGCCAGGAGAGCTTCGAAGGACCTAAACCTGTCAGGGGAGATGGCGTAGACAATCCCTTTGAAGTAGCGGTCTCCGTTGCGATAGAACCGGACTTTCTTGGCTTTCTTCTCCGAGCTGAGGGTCTGGAGGGTGCGGGTGCGGTAGAAGCTGCAGTGGGCGCTGTGGGTGGGGCTGGGCAATCCGTTCACCCGCGACCCTCTCCCGTAGCGCTGCGCTTTATCCCGCTCGTCAAAATGCTCCAGCTCCATGTCTCTCCCCAAGGACATCTTGTAGCTCAACCTGAGGGGTGCACGAGAGAAGAGAACAAGGTGAAGTAACTCACACATTTGAAGGGAGCTCACTTCGAGACTTCACCTTCTGTACATGGCTCTTAGAGGACTGCTCTTCAGGTTGAGAAACATGTTTGAACGCTGCGTTCATGTGGTCATTTTACAGCTAATTTTCTTGCCTTGACATAAATCCTGGTTTATAAGTTAGGCGTCTACACACTGTAGAAATGCCACTCATGAAACCAGCTGCTAGAAATATGACAGCAATAAAAAGCGTTTGTTCAAATTCAGCAAGAACTCTGAAAATGAGGCAACAAAGTTGAGCTACTGGAAAATAAATAAAAGAACAAATGCAACAACTTTCTACTTTTTCTCGTGTTGTATTCAGGTGCTACTTGAGTCCAGTCTACCTCCTAGACCAGTCACCCTCACTAAACTCTTTGTTCCAACTGTTGATCTCAAGAGGGGCCATTTCAGAAGGGCAACCAGTTGCCAACAAGTAATTAAGAACTTCTCAGAGGAATAGATGTCACAGGCTGGCAGTGAGAATCTGGTCTACCACCTAGTGGGTCAAGCCCACTGTTCAAAAGTCCTTGCATATTCCAG